TAGCTGGTGAGTGCAATGGTGGGAGCCTCTCCAGCCTCCACGGCAGCATTAAGGATCCCAAGGGGATGTCCATGAAGGGGTCCCGGACTGCGAGAGGGCACAGGTTGGGCTGAGGGACTCCCTCGAGTGCACAAATTTTTGTGCACCAGGCCTCTAGTAGGCACATAATGCTCAAGAGAACCTTTGCTGTAACAGTATGTATTCCATTTATAATGTGCACTAATATATTGGGTAGCTCCTGCTTTTGTACATAACTATTTACTCCAGTTTGCTACCATAGTGTAATAGCAAATGACTAATAAAGAATACTTTTGCCCCTTCAAGAAAACACAATTTTGTTAGTATGTCTGCCTTCTCTTGGACCATGGCTCTCTGTTCCTGCTTCATGGGAGTCTGCTATGCTAGCATAGCCATCTGCTCATATCAGGGTTGTCATGATACACACATTTTATGTGCACACATCATAGTTAAGGACTAATATACCAAATACTTTTTCACATGAATCATGGTTGTCTAAGCATATACAATAGTTGTCTTAAGCTACATAGATACTTTATTATGCTTAAAGGCTCTGTGTTCAAATGTCATCCTTTTCAGTTTATGCACTACAGTAACTAGAAAATTCACCAATTTTGTCATGAGAATTTTGGGTTTCTGCTCATCTCTACGGTCCTTATTTGCACTTCTTTGATGGTCATCTGATCATGTACCATAGATGTATGCATGTTCATTTAATACTAATATCTGCTAATATGCTACAGTTCTCTGTACAGGGTTGGACTTGTTTTGTAGAAATTTGCTAACTTGCAAAGGATATCTATTCCAGTAGTATGTAGAGTTTTAATAACCAATATCATCCCAATAAATTTAATTTAAAAATTTAATCATGGTAAAAAAAATAACAGGTCTTAAATATTTAAATGCACATTTTAGTAGTGTTACATATATTCATATTGTTGTACAACAATCGAAGAGGTATGCTTTTTACAGTTTTTAAAATATGTTTATATTGATTTTTAGAGAGAGAGGCAGGGAGAGAGAAACATCTATGTGAAAACAAAACATATATTGATGAGAAGGAAACATTGATTGCATGCCTCCTGCACGCCCCCTATTGGGGATCAAGCATGCAACCCCTCCATGTGCCCTGACCATGAATCAAACCAATGACCTCTTGGTGCATGGGTTGATGCTCAAACACTGAGCCACACTGGCTGGATAGGTGGCATGCTTTTGATAATGTACAATGTCTTAATGGAGTGAGTATCAGGTCCCTCTTCTCTTGTTCAGTGACTACTATTCTCATGTGCTATGGTTTTCTGACATTTAGCATGGTTAAATTGTTTTACCATACATATCTCCACATGCATTGTAATAATGAAGTTTGCTAACAAAGTGTCATGGTAGTTGGAGGGCACATATTATGTCCAACTTCTTCTATATATGATGCAGTCTTCTCATGCATAATGATTATTTGAACATGCACCTTAGTCATTAAGTTAATATGGAATTCTTCTCTTTTTATGTATCATACTATATATCATAGTATCTGCTTCCAAATCATGGGTATTTGCTTCTGTTCATTAGCACCTAGTCTTAGTGTGGAGGTTTGCTGCTTATTTATCATGATTATTTGAATGTAACTCATGCTAGAATAGCACAGTTGCACACACACTATTAGTCTCTTTGCTTGTGCAGCATGGCCATCTTCTCCAGGATCATTACTTATGCATTTATGTTTTTTGAGCACTCACCATGGTTCTTTCTTACATTCCGTGGATCATTTCTGTAATTTGGACTTATATCCTATACCATGTCTCTTTGTTCCTGTAAAGTAATTGTCAGTTGTGTATGATGATTATCTAAGCATTGATGTTTGTTATGTGATCATACAATGTTAGGATCTTCCAAAGCACTATGGATATTTGGACATATATTATGGTTTCTGACTATATTAGAGTTGTCTGTGCATACACCATATTTTCTTACTTATATTCCATGACCTGTTCTGTTCATTTCTGTAAAATGACCATCATCTCCTATACAGCTTTGAATCATAAATGCCACAGCACATATATTATATTGACAAGAAATTGCCATTGTGAAACAAAATTGTTGCATATTGGTCCATAATTTATGTGATACAACCTAATACTATAACTACTTTATATGTAATGTGGACATTTCATTATGTCAGAAGTCCACGTTCTCCAGTATCATATTTTTCTATGCCTATACCAGATTGTGTTGGGGAACCTGTAGCTAGTATATTAAATTAAGAATATTCAAATTGTATAAACTGCATAATGAGGAGGCAAAAGCCACCCACACAGGGTTTTCAGGAAAATTGTTTAACTGTATCAAGATGAGAATCAATACTAATTATGCTCTAAAGAGATCCCAGGTCTTAATATTCTCGTGTTTTCTACAATACTTAACTACGGCAAAGGCATTTGTGGCAGAAGAGATCAGAGAGAAGTGGTAGAAAATAAAACGAAGGCATGAGAGATTATTTTAAATTTTTGGATTATAAGAGGTGACTGAGGCTAAGAGAAATTCTGTGGGTCACCTAATCATAATAAGACAAGGAAAGAAATGGAGCTGTAACCTTAAGGCTACTGTTTACTGATTTAGAGTTCTTTACATTACCTTTACTTAGATGGGCTCTGGTAAATTTAAAGAGGGGTAGGTTGGAAATGAATTTTGGTGACATTGATTAACTGGAGAAAAGGAATTTTCACATCAAGCATTAAGTAACTAGATACCAAGGAAGTTAAATGAGTCTAATAGAGTTAAAATCTTTTTTGAAATTTCTTCTTTCTCCTTCCCCTTACCTACTTATTTCCCCTTTTTCTTTCCCTCAACGTGGATCTCACAGGACTCTCCAAGTTGGTGCCTAAGAAGATGATAATCAAAAGAATGAGTTACTTCTACATGACCAGCTTTGGGCTTCTCTTCCTGATGAATATTCCCCCTGAAACAACTGGCCAAGGGGAATCAAGACGACAAGAGCCTGGGGATTTTGTGAAGCAGGATATTGGCGGGTAAGATGGCTTAACTCTAAGAAAAGAATCCTGTGATAAATTCTTGTCTTGAACAAAAATTTTTATTTTTTTTCCAGATGAACTAAAGTACTCTGGTCCTTGATACTAGACATTGCATTGAATTTGTAAAAGCATAAACAGCTCAGACTTTCAAGGTAGAAAGAGATCTCTTGGGCAACTTCCTAGCCCATGTTTGAATTCTCTCTGTAACACCCAAAAGGCAATTTTGTCCAGTCATTTGCTCTCAGCCTTTCATCTGTCCTTTTTTTTTTATTGGCTCTGTCCTATGAATATTTAAATGTGATCAAGAATCTTCTATCTTAAATTTAAACTTTCCTTCAGATGGTGCCTTAAATCTTTTCTCCTCTTTACAGTCATCTTTAAAGGAGTGTTTTTCTTTGTTTTTTTTCTATCTATCTTTCACTCTGCTCCACTGGTGCTGACTTCCAACCCCAGAATTCTAAGACAACTTAAGCAACCAACATGGCCAATGTTGACTTTGTTGCTAAAATGATCACTTGTCTGTTCTTACCTATATTTATAAAAGGCTAATATGCAAATTGTCCCCTTGGGAGTTCAACCAGGAGACCGGGAGTTCGATCACTTGCTATGATGTGCACTGACCACCAGGGGGTGATGTGGAATGAATGAAGGCCCGGCCCGTAGCTGGAAGGAAGGCTCCAGCTGGCAGCCAGAAGGCCCTAATAGGCCCTGATCGCCGGCCAGGCCTAGGGACCCTACCCGTGCACGACTTTCATGCACTGGGCCTCTAGTACAACATAATTTCTTTAGTACCATGTGGCAACATTCAGCATTGTTGACTCTTTACTCCTTCCTTAACTCCATTTTCTTATGAAATAAAACATGTAAATATGCATAAAATAAATGTAAATTTAAACAAAATTCTTTCTTTGACTTCAGAGATACCACAATGCTCTGGTTCTTCGATTAGCAGTCCAAGTGGAAGAAAACATATTCCCTTTTTTATAAGGAAATATGTACTATATTTGCATGTCTAGTTAACCTGATGTTATTGAAAACAGCTGGAAAGAGATCCACACAATTGCTCTCAGGAGCCAGTGCCAGCCAGGTCCAATAATTAAATATTATTGAGTACCTGAAAGAACTTTAGTTTATGTGGGTTATATCTATAAACATTTATAGCATTAGAAATTAGGACAGAAAAATTATTTTTATTATTATTTTTAAAATAATTCTTTATTGTTGAAAGTATTATATATGTCCCCTTCCCTCCCCCATTAACTCCCTCCAGTCTGCCCCCACCTTCTCGGCCCCAGGCTTTCAGCACCCTATTATCTGTGCCCAGGACAAGGTTTTTAAGCAAATTATTTATTGAGATGGTGCTCTCAAAGAAACTTATATGGAAATAAGAGAAGCAAGTTGGAAAGAGGAAGAAGTAAAGCAAAAGCATGATTTCACTTAAAGTATAGCTTCCATTTGACCCCATAGTGCGCTATAGAACACCAGCTTGAGGCAGTGGCCCACCTTGAGGCAGTGGGCTTTTGTAGCCTCACCTCAATCATTAATTGCCTGAGGACTGAATAGAGGAAGAGATAACCTCCTAGGCTCCCTTCAGCAGATGGTAATACTTTAAAGTTGTTGTGGATGGTTTCTCTGGCCTGGTGAAAGAGATCTAGATATACCACCAATACTACACCTGGATTTCTTTATACTTTTATGGCTATGCTTTCTATAATATTTGCTACAATATTGCACAGCTATATCAAAGCTTTTGTGATATAAAGATCTTTTGTAATCTGGTAATCTTCTGTTCCATTGTTCATTGCACAGGTGATGGTGGTGTGTTTTTTGTTGTTGTTTGTTTGTTTTGGTTTTAAATCAGGTGCTCTTTTTTTACTACATAGACTCTAAGTGACTTAATCCATTCCCATGACATTGTTACTATATATGTGTGTGTGTGTGTGTGTGTGTGTGTGTGTGTGTGTATACACTAGAGGCCCGGTGCACAAAGATTTGTTCACTCAAGGG